TGCTTAGAAAGAAAAGAGTCTCCAGGATATCTTAATATCTCCCAACTTCTCCCAAGTTAAGACTAAAGTCTCCATCCCCTTTTTCTTTGAGGTGTCATTCACTTACACAGGTGCTGACCCTCTTGTCCGGGAAGGGGCTGTGAGAAGCCCTTATATTAATATTTGTCCTGACTCTCTCTCAGACCGTAGTCCTGCATTAAAGGCACATTGGATCTTTGGCTTGACTGATTCCTCCTTACAGTTCTTTATACGTCAAACAGAACTCATCCCCACCACCTTAAATTCATCTCCCTACCCCATCCCACCTTCCTATTTCTGTTACTGTTTCCCCCGGTCTCCCATCCACCCCACTCCTAAGCATCTCATCCATCACCAAAGCCTATTCAATTCTCTTTTTCCTTTTCTTTCCTGCTGCCATGATACTAATATAGGCCCTTCCGCTGTAACTGATCTCTCTGCCGCTGTCTCTTTTCCTCTAATCCATCTTGTCCACAGTATTGCAAAAATAATCTTCTTCAATATCATCTTCCTTGGGTTTTTCATTTTGCCCATGAACCCTTGCTCTCTCCCATCAGCAACAAGATCTAGTCCACTTTGCTTAGCCTTGAAATGCAAGACCTCCATACATACTCTGATTCTTAGGATCATCTTTCACTTTTTCCTTATGTGAACTATGCATATGTGTTCATTCCTTTGTTTGTATAGCATGCTATTACATCCCAACTGGGTGCCCGACAGTCTTCTGGTTGCTTCTGAAAAGCTGAACAGAAAAGTCCTTACCAATGCACTTTATGATCCTGGGAGATCATGCTGCTACCTGGAAAGTCCTCCATCTAAACCCTAAATTATTTTCCAGGACCTGTTTAAAATTCCTCTGTCCTCCAGAAACCTTTTCTAAGCACCTGGGACCCTCTTTCTAGTCCCTACAGATCTTATTGTCTGAATTAATCATTTGACACTGATCCATTCAGTCATCAAACACACACACACTGAACACCTATTGTCTGTCAGGTATTATAATAGGTGTTGTCTTACACATCAGTATATTTTCATAGCGTAATAAAAATAACATCAACAACAGCACTTATAAAGCTCTTGTCAGGCCAGGGGCTGTGGCTCGCACCTGTAATCCCAGCACCTTGGGAAGCCAAGGCGGGCAGATCGCCTGTGGTCAGGAGTTTGAGACCAGCCTGTTCAACATGGCAAAACCCCGTCTATACTGAAAATTCAAAATGTAGCCAGGCGTGATGGCACACGCCTGTAATCCTAGCTACTCAGAAGGCTGAGGCAGGAGAATCACTTGAATCTGGGAAGCAGAGGTTGCAATAAGCTGAGATCACCCCATTGCACTCCAGCTTGGGTGACAGAGGGAAACTCCGTCTCAAAAAAAAAAAAAAAGCTCTTATCATGTGTAGGCACAAATTTATATACATTAATTAATCATCAAAATAACCTTTGAGGTAGGTGTTATTATTCAAATTTTATGATAGGAAAATCAAGGCAAGGAGATATTTAACAACTTTCCTAGGGTCACAAGTTAGAAAGTTGCAGAGTTGGAAATCAATTCTGGCTCTGAGGTTCTTGATCTTAACCCCTATGCATCACTGTCAGGTCCCAGTATATATGTCAAATGTGTGTATGTGTGTGTGTGTGTAAATATAAGCCCATGCACACCTTCCCGGCTAGACTGAACTCTAGAGGTCAGGGGTGATGTCCCACACTTCCCTGTAGCCCCACTACCTTATTCAGTCTATGCATGTGGTAGATGCACGAATTGTTTGGATGATTGGTTATTAGTGCTTCCATTCACTCTTGAGGGGCTTGAGATTTTTAGCAGCAAGTAGGAGTGTTTTGAGGTAGAAGGCGGAGAAGCAGAATTTCAAAATAGACCTGGGCATGATGGAATTCTTGGTTTCCAGTTTTTAACTCTGCAAGCGTTGAGGACAGGTTTGTGCAAGAAAATGTACTGATGTAAAAGCCCTTGAAAGTGGAAGAATATTCTTTTCTCAAAGAGAAAAATAAAACAAACCGTATTATGGTTACATAGTTTCTCCCCCCAATCCTGTTTCCTGTCACACTGATTCATATGCATTTTGCTTTATTGCCTATAAAACCAAAGTTTTGACATCAGGATGGCATATCTCCTTTTCTGGCCTAGTATTTCCATCTAAGGTTTTTATAAGTTGAAGAATATCAGCGTTTTATTTGAGTGGCAATACTGCAACTACCTATGTAGTTTAATAAAACCTGGTAAGTACATATTTGAGTTTTAAAAACACAGGTGGTGAGTTATTTGCATTTTAAAAGGATTCTTCCCTGTACAAAAGGATCCACTGCAGGGTTCTATTAAATATCCAATTCCCCTTAGTGCATTTATTATATGATTTAATTTACCAAAATTTGATTTATATGCCACTCTAAAGGGGTAGCTCTCAAGTTCTAATAAGCATAGGAATCACTTGGGCAACTCGTTTAAAATTCAGATCTGGCCCCCACTTTTCCCCAAAATTCTGAATCATTAGGTCTTGGGCGAAACCCAAGTTTTTGTTCTTAATGAGCACTCAAGGTGGCTGACGTAGTTCGTCAGTGAAATACACTTTGGGAAGCACATAAGATAAGGCGCAACTGTAGGGGTTTTTACGAGGTCTGAATCCCCTCTTACTACCAGATGTCTTGTTCACTCTTTATCTGGTAAATTTAAAAAATATTTGTGGGGTCAAATGAAGACTCATCTCTTTCCTACTCACTTCTTCCTGCAGCTGCCAAAAATCTTTAATCTCAGGAGTAAAATGTTTGCCTTTTTTTAACCCCCTATTTGACTCTTAGGTAGCTCTTCAGATCATTTTTATTTTTTTTCCTCTATCTCTTTTCTGTCTTTTTTTTTTTTTTTTTTTGAGACAGGGTCTTGCTCTGTCACTCAGGCCGGAGTGAGGTGGTACGATCATAGCTCACTGCAGCCTCAAACTTCTTGGCTCAAGCAGTCCTCCCACCTCAATGCCCACCCGAGTAGCTGGAACTACAGGCATGCAACACCACCCCCAGCGAATTTTAAGTTTTTATTTTGTAGAGACAGAGTTTTGCTACGTTGCCCAGGATGGTTTTGAACTCCTGGACTCAAGCTATTCTCCTGCCTTGGTGTCCCAAAGTGCTAGGATTACACGTGTGAGTCACTGCTGTGAAGGTCACCTACTGAATTCATACGTCCATTTTGTTCCTGTTCCCCTTTCCACATACTCCACCAGGCGTTTTAAGAACAGTTATTTCAGTGGAAGTTTCTCTTAACCAAGTCTAGGGCCTTTTCTCTTCTGTTCCTACTATCCCCTTCCCCACAAAAGACCCAAAATAATTTTTTTGAACAAAACAAATCATGAGAATGACTTGTTTTGTCATGATCTCATTCTTCCATGTGTATTTATCCTGGTCCTAGAGCAAAAAACACTGTAACTATTTAAAATATTATTATAGTTTAATGAAATTTGCTTAAAAAATAGACCCTGGGACATTGATGGCATGTGTATCTGTGTATTTAATATATCATTGATCTTTTTTTAAATTTTATTTATTTTAAATTTAATTTTTATTTATTTATTTATTTATTTTGAGATGGGGTTTTGCTCGTTACCCAGGCTGGAGTGCAATGGCACGATCTCGGCTCACTGCAACCTCCGCCTCCTGGGTTCAGGCAATTCTCCTGCCTCAGCCTCCTGAATAGCTGGGATTACAGGCACGTGCCACCATGCCCAGCTAATTTTTTGTATTTTTAGTAGAGACGGGGTTTCACCATGTTGATCAGGTTGATCTTGATCTCTTGACCTCGTGATCCACCCACCTCAGCCTCCCAAAGTGCTGGGATTACAGGCTTGAGCCACCACACTTGGTCATATCATTTATCTTTTAAAAGTCAGTCACTTGACCTATATTTTGCCTCTGATTACTTTTCTAAATGTCCAGTAATCTCCAAAAACATTTGAGGTTTCCATACTTTAGAGGGTTTTTTTCCTTTATTAATCCCCAATATCCCAAAATTTGCCCAGAGTAAAGGTTCTCTGGAGTTATTTGGATATTATCAAATATCTCCAGTAATAACAGAAGCAATACAAGAGCAAATAACTGGTGTAAATGGTTCCTGGTTGAAAATCTTTTCTTTTTTAATAGATTTATCAAGGCTTGTGCTCTCCTGAACCAGCGAGCTCTTCATTTCCCTGTTTGACTTCCATAACCATGTAGCCAGAGGTTCTCTTATCTGTTTGCTGGGACTTTGCATACCTTTTATAACCCAATCAGTGCTGGCTAGGCCTCCCTGATCAGGTGGAGGACTTTCTAGGAAAGATGGTAGAGGAGAAGTGGAAGAAGTGATATCATTGTCCCTGGGCTAAGATGACAGTGATAGAAACAGTTCCAGGTTGTCTGAGCAACTATCGCAAGCAGGAACTTATTTGGTATATTCCACATGATTCAATTTTTGTAGAAAAAACTTATCTAGAGAAAAAATGTTGGATGGTACTCTCTGGAAGGTGAGATTGCCACTGATATTTTTCTTTTTGTTCTGATGACTGTTCCCAAGTTTCTACAGTGACCATGTATTATTATTAAAAGTTATTTAAAAGAAAGAAAGCCAGTTTACTGGCATCTTAAGTCTGCTTCCCAAGGGACTTAGTCTTTAACAGATCTATTACAAATCCTATCTATGACATAGAACAACAGTAAAAGGAAAGTTCTCGTGATTAGGCCCAGAGCAGTTCCGCAAACACAAGGTGGTAAACCAGAAAGCCGGGCTTTCTGCTGAGCTGCAGGAAGGCTGGGGTGTCTGTGTTTGTTGCATGCCCCAGAGTGTGTGTGTGTGTGTATGTGTGTGGAGTCCGTGACACGTGAGCAAATATGTGGCCCCTGGCACTCCTTTTCCCACTCGAGAATTAAGAGAAGATTGTATTGCATTTGGGATTTTAACTTTGTCTTCTTTCTTTTTTTCCTTCCCTTTCTCCCTCTTTCTCTGCCTCAAGGCCTCTCCCACCTCATGATGAGTGAACAAGGTAGGTGCTTTGTGCTTGTGGTCCTGCAGCTGCCGGAATTGCTTGCCTCCGTGCCTCTGGCTGGTCACAGAGCCTCATCGTCACTGGCAGGCCATTTGCTGCCTGTCCTTCCTGCGTTGGTCCAGGCTGGCTGCAGGGCCACCCCACAGTGGGGGTGGGGGCACCTTCCTTGATGCATCGTGGTTTCCCACCCCCATTGTCCCCTTGGCTTCTCCATTCTCCACTGCCATTTGTCATCCTGGGCGCTGGCCCTGCTGGGCTGCATCCAAGAGGGAAGTATGAAACCAGGCATGACGGTGTCGATAATGGGGGTGAATGAAGCTAATTTCAGAGCAACCAAGCGGTTAACTTCCTCCTGCTCCTCCCTAGGCCCCTTGCCAGGGCTCCAGGTTTGGGGAGAGGAGCTGGGCTCCTCCCTGATTTCCCTCTGAGGAACGGTTTTCTTTTTGTCTTCCCCTCCATTCCACTGCCCGTAATGATCTGCCCTCCATGGTCAAAGGAAACCCTTGGGGGTTTGACTGTTTTCAGTTTTATATAAAAGCTAAAACCACCTAAAGAACATGCTAATGTCCTCATGGCAGAATTCTAACTCATTATACACCCTGAAGAAAACTGCATATAAAGATCTGTAAATTCAGCATCTGCAACCTAAAATATTCAAATATGCAAGGAATGAACTGGGCAGGAAATTCAGCTCAGCTAAACGCAGGGTGGGCTGTGAATGAAGCCTTTTTCTCCTAAATAAAAATTTTCCACATTATCAGCCTAAATCAGAATTTGAGAGCTGAGCCTACTTGAAATTGTCTCTTCCTTCACAGTTCAATTGCTGCTATTGTGTTTCTTCTGAGCCTTGGGATGATTGCAAGATTGGTCTACCTACCTTGCCCTGTAACCAAAAAAGTTATAATTTTTCTTGACTATGTCTTGTTGAAATATACGTGGACTCAGCCCCTCTTTTGGAGGACCAAAGAAAAGGGGAAAGAGGGACCATTCCATATACTCCTGTTTTTCTTGATCTTTTGAGGAGGGTGGGACCTCCCCTCCCCTGCTCCCTGACATTGAGCTCATCAGACATTTTTGCCATCAAGGGCAGTATGATCAGATCAAGGAACCACCCAAGGCTGAAAGAAATTTGTTTATGGCCTCCAGTTAGCTGTGGAAGTGGCAGTCCAGGGCATCCTGAACTGACAAAGCAGGGTAAGGAGGAAGCCTACTTTTCCCATGTAAGTGTATCCTCCAGACCTAAGCCAAGATCAGTGGTGTGGACTCCAGAAATTTTAGTGAAGAGATGGTTTGGTAGAGAACATCTGTCAAAAAATAGAACTGGAAGAGGAGATTGGGTGAATTTGATAGTATTAGAAGGGGCTCCAGAAGAGGCTGAGATGATATCTCTGTTCTTGCAGTTTAGTGAGGGAAGGAAGTACCAAAAGCAAGTGACTGTGAGGTGGACATGAGTTGGAGATGTGTCTGATGTTGACCAGTGTTCAGGTAGCTTGAGAGAGTTAAGCACATCTCTGTGCAGTGGGAGGAACTGAGCTCTATGAATTGCTGGAATTCAGTGGCTCAACTTTGGTGACAAGTTATACCAGCAAAAGCAGGCTCTTAGAGTCCCGGTAACCTCCTCCTCCATTCTTTTTTTCCCTCTTACCTTCTTTAGCTTTATGCTCCCAGCTGCCCCTTGGGAGTCCTGTGAGCTTTTATTGTGGCTTAGAGAATTAAGTACATCATAGGGCAGAGTGTGGCAGATGGGATTCGCTGATGGGGACTTCCTTGGTCTTGATTTAGCTTATTGCAGACACACTGATGCAGCATGGATATCTTGGAAGGCTAAATCCCAACACTGGTATGAAAAGCAATTGGAGAACCTCTATTATATTCCTTATGTGTACACACAGAGCTTCAGATACAGCCATGCTCTGGGTGAATAAGTCTGGTACCTTCTAGAAAGAGAGAAAGAAATAATTACAGATGTGGATGTTGTGAATTCCTCTTTCAAGAGGTTTTCAAGAAAGGATGCAGAATTCTTCTGGGTGACCGGTGCTGCTAATATTTTAAGTTGCCACTTGAAGTTTAATCTGTTTTTAAGATGGTCCTTTGACTGCATTCCTCTTCCTTTCATTCTTTTCCATTTTCTACCCCGATGTCTGTTCTCACCTGTCTGATGATTGCCTACAAAACCGATGCTCTTCTCACCAGTGTACTCCCTTCCTTTTCCTTATTCCTTCAACATAAAGGAGGCTTCTGTCTGGTTTCCACTGAATCTTGATAATTTTTCTTTGATGCCCATAAATATATGTGGAAATATTTATGTATGTTGTGTGTACACCACCTATACACATATGTTATCCTCTTGGTCCTCATAACTCATATTAATGTTGGGAAAATACAGGAGAACCTAGCTTCTCCGAGATGTTCCCTAACCATTTTTAGATTAATTAAGTGCATGCCATTTCGCATACATGTGGCTGTCCAGTGCTTCTGCATGCCAACTTTGTCATGTTTCTGAGGATGGGACTGAAAATAAATGAATGGGACACAGCTTGAACGTGAAGCTGATGGAGCAGCCTTGCTGGTCACAGTGTTACCGCTTGTTTAAGCTTCCATATTGTATGTTTGTTCTGTGCTGCCTCATGATGTTGCGATGCTGCTGCCTTTACTGTTGTGAGTTTCTGTTTTGTGTGTTTTCCGTCTCTTTGTGTGTCTGCAGTGTGCTGATGTTTGACTCTCCTTGCTCTCTCTCTCTCTGTCTCTCTCCCTCTCTCGCCGCCTCCATGGTGGACACCATGCTTCCTCTACTTAATCGGACCTTCACTTCATTTCTGTAGGTAGAAGTAAAGGTAGAGCTCACTTTATTTTTTATCATTATAACTGTCAATCTGCCTTTTGAAATATTCATGCATCCAAGAGGATTGTCGATTCTGAATACAGTCCAGATTATAAATTAATGCTTTTAACAATGATTGAAAAATAAGAATAAAAAAAAGAAGCCAATGCTATCATCTTCCTTCAGTTGCACTTCACATTCAGTGTTTGGGGATGATTCTGCGTTGGCCTACATCCCTCTAAACTGAGGGCGGGCCTTCTGCATGATTTCGTACTCTTTCTAGCAGGAACAGGGGACTCTGAAAGTGGTTATGCTGTGTGGGGAAGGTACATGTTACTTCCATGCAGGGCGTTCTAAGATCCCCTCCCAGTAAATGTATTGAGGGAACAGGGGAAGTATGAAATTATGTATCATCGTTGCTATTACGTGGAATAACTGAATTTGGGGATAACATTGGCGGGGGAAGGATGATAGATGAGAAAGAGAGAGGATTGGTGAATTGCCTGAAATTTTATTTAATGTGGAATTGGGGGGATATGTATTTATTTCTTATTTTCCTGTGTTGTATTTCCTGTATATATGGGATTCAGAATTTTCTGATGGGATGATGGGCTCAGAAGGGTGGGAATGGGACGGTGTGAAAGAATACAGGAATGAAAATGTGTTACAGAGTCAGGAGGAAGAGGAGAAAGAGATAACATAGGATTTTTAACTTACAAAGCCAGCCTTTTGCCAGGTGGGCAGAGAAAAGGAGAGGGACTCAGCGAGTGAACTTGCGCTGCCAACACTCTGACATGCCTTTCATCATGTCACACCTTTGGGTAACTCATCCATTTCTAATCAAAGCTGTCAGAGACTCAAGCCTAGAGAACCGGGTTCACCAGCTCAAATTGGATTCGTTGTTGAAGGGAGAGGTTAATTGATAAATTATAAATATGTATCTGCATCTAGTCTTCCCTGGAACCTTCCTAACTCTCCAGCCCCTATCTCAGTGGATCTGTGTACTGTCTCTTCCTTCAAGGACTGGCAAGTAACCATAGTAGGAAATGTGTTTTCTGCCACGAGGATGTTGAAGAAAAAAGGGGCTGACAAGTTATTGAAAATGTGGATTCAGTGACGCATCTGTGAACTGGCTATCTCTTATTGAGTTTTATGCTTTTCTGGGTCTTTGAAAAGTTATGTGTGGTTGCTGTGGAAGCAGTTCAGTCCTTTCCACTTTGGGGTTGGTTGATTGTCTGTTCCTTTTATGCTAATAAAAGTGGCTTCATTCTCAGAAATCTGTCGTGGGGAATCCTTACCCCATTGCTAAGTTGGTATCTTTTGAAAGGAGGTGGGTGGGAAAGCGGGGAGAAGAAGAGGAATAAATGATTAAAGGGCTACATCTGGCTGTGTCTCCACCTTTCTGCTGATTCTGCTCAGTGGAAGGCTGCCAGTGACCTCCTCATAGGCAAAGCCACCAATCTGCTGAGAACTCAACTTTTCTGATGCATGTGGCTCTGTTACCTCTTCCTTCTCTCACTGGCTCCTATGACAACAGATTAGAGTCAGTCTCTGTCTTTCTCCTTGTCTTTCCCTAATTCCCTACAGCATCCTGTAACATAGGTGTTTTGAGTGTCTTTTTGATTTTTGCACGTGAGTATTTTATTTTGTTTCCCTGAGTCACTGCTACTACCACTACTAGCAGCTGCTAAAACTTGCGGAGGCTAGGCACGGTGGCTCACGCCTACAATCCCAGCACTTTGGGAGGCCGAGGTGGGTGGATCACAAGGTCAAGAGATCAAGACCATCCTGGTCAACATGGTGAAACCCCATCTCTACTAAACATACAAAAATTAGCTGGGCATGGTGGCACACACCTGTAGTCCCAGCTACTCGGGAAGCTGAGGCAGGAGAATTGCTTGAATCCAGGAGGCGGAGGTTGTGGTGAGCCGAGATTGCACCATTGCACTCTAGCCTGGATAACAAGAGCGAAACTCTGTCTCAAAAAAAAAAAAGTTTGTGGAGTGTTCCTCATGCACCAGCCATTGTGCTATATGCTTGATGGGCTTGTCACAATTAATGCCACAATGCGTCTGTGAGGTAGGTGTTCGCATTATTCTTGTTTTATGAATAAGACCAATAAGACTCAGAGTCAGATAACGTAAGTCGATGACTACTAAATGAGAATCAAACCCAG